AACATGGCCACACACACAACGAGCGGGGACTCCTGTTGACACATCTCATCACATCCCTGACACATCACCACCTTGTCGTCACTATATACTTGACTTAACTGGCAGTATGACATCAATTTGAGTACATTGTGGTGGTGTCAGGTTTGATTATGACAGTACCGGGCCTTGGGGTACACCGTAACCTTTGGATAGTAAAGGTCGCACTACCTGGCCCTGGGGTAGATAACTAACATCAGTCTTGGGGTCCACCTCAACCCTGATAATGGATCCTAGGAATAATAAACTGTGGGAGCAAGGTGGGGGCCCGGCAGCAGCAGCAATGGCCGCGGCGTGATGCGCATCGTGGCCTACATAGACTCCATCACTCGCTAAAGAAATTTTCCAAGGCCAAGCTTTTGTTGGGAGCGAGAAGGTTGGCGGAGGTGGCGAAGGTTGCCACCTGTCGCCTTAACTGCAGCTAATACCAGGGGTGACCTTCTCTACTACTACCATCTTCCTGCTGCTGGGTTGCTATGGGGTGACTCTTTACCTTTTCCGCCGCCGCTGCTCATCCACGCTTTGTTGACCCTTTACAACAAGGGGGGCTGGTCACCCCTCACCCCACGAGACCTATCCTGACTCTTGGCATCGCAGAGACAACACCTAAACACCTCCCGCTGCAACGTGAAGAATAATGCCACAATATAATGTGGATTGGTTGAGTGGCAAGAGAGCGGGCAGCCACAGAGTGCAGGAAGGCCAGTGCTTTCACACCTCACCACACACGACCTCGGCCGCCTTACACCCTTGTTCTTCTCACACTTGCGACATAATTGTCTATGCAAGCCGTTAACTCCCCTTAAAAACATTGTTCTACCATGCATGAGACAACTTACACGTGAACACCCATACAAACGCACTACCATCAGTACCGTACCTCGGTCACCTGTCTCTAACAACACGAACAAAGGAAATAATTGTACAGGTTATACCAAGACGTGAAACTGAGCAGCTGGCGACAGTTATAATGGTGTTTAGTCTAGTGGCAAACTCACCTGCACCAGTCACCTGAGCAACCTTTAGGACCCCTGGTGTGGGACCCCAACTATAAGAACCAGGGGACCCCAAATATAAGTTACCGGGACCCCAGCTAAAAGAACCAGGGGACCCCAGTTATAAGATACCGGAACCCCAGCTATAAGAACCAGGGGACCCCAGTTATAAGATAAGAACATAAGAACAGAGGAAACTGCAGCGGGTCTATTGGCCCATACTGGGCAGTCCCATTTACACCCAACCCCTATTGCTCATATAAGCATCCAACCTATGTTTGAAACTATCCAGCGTATTCGAGTTAATGATGATATTTGGTAACTTGTTCCATTCATCCACTACTCTGTTTCCAAACCAGTGTTTACCTATTTCGCGCCTAAATCTAAATTTGTCTAATTTAAAACCATTGTTACGAGTTCGCTCCTGGTTGGATAGTTTGAGCATTTGAAATGTCCCCTTTATTTAGCCCTGACTTCCATTTATACACCTCTATCATGTCGCCCCTCGCTCTACGTCTCTCGAGGGAGTGCAAATTAAGATGCTTTAACCTGTCTCTGTACCCTAGCTATAAGAACCAAGATACCGGGACCCCAGCTATAAAAGCCTAGATACCGGGACCCAGGAGGACACAAGACCAGGTCAACAGCCACCACCAACACACTACCCCAAGGAACAAGTTATAACAAGAGGTAAACAAAACTATCTGGAATATAGTAGTGGTGGTAGTGATAGTGGTTGTGGTGATGGTGGCTGTGGTGACGGTGGTGGCGGTAGTGATGGTGGTGATAGTGGTGGCCAGGGTCATCAACACTCGCTGTTCCTGGCCAACCTGTTACTACCTGGCCTTGTACAAGTTATCAAACTTCTCTTTGAATTTCACTGTAACTCTAGACTGAGGGTACAAGTAACGGCCGCCTCACACAGGGACCTCTACCAGTACAACACACACACACACACACTACTGCTACCACTTTGCTGTCACTCGGAATCGAGTATGACGATCATCCAGCTATGATACAATGATATGAGTTATTAGGGATGTCACCTAGGTTAGTGAGTTTTGAGGTGACTAAAGAGGCCGATACGAGACCGGCAGCGTCGTCCGCATTCGTTGCACATGTGGAGGGCTCCATCTACTGTGGGAGGGGCGGTGGCAGTCGGGCTAACTCGAAAGTATTGACACCTTCCGTGTGGTGCTCCTCCAAGCGTTACGATGTGGAGTAATCGACGCCCAGGTGAGGGGGTCGTTTTGGCACCTTTTCAGGTTTGTCTTAAGACTATCTCATTTTTCAATTGCCCGCCAGCGTTACGTTTACTATTCGTTAGGTGACTGTAAAGTAGCTGCTTTGGCAGTCTGCTGTCGTCCATGCGGGTAGTTGTTCATGGATAATGGTAGCCTCGATGCTCCTACAGTTGGTGTTAGCAAGAATGCTGGCATTTGTTCTCTTGTCTTCCCAGCGAACTCGGAGGATGGAACGTAGACTACGTTGGTGAAAGTTTTCAAGTGCCTTGAGGTGCCTCCTGTATGTGACCCATGAGTCACTGCCATATAATAGGGTGGGCAGGACCACTGCTCGATATACGTGCAACGATGTGGATAATTTCAGCTCCCTACAGCTGAAGACACGATTTCAGAGTCCGCCCAAAGCGTGAGATGCACATCTGATCCGATGCTAAATTTCTTCATCGATGTCTGCGGTGGTGGACAGGTGGGAGCCGATATACCGAAAGTGGGCAAAATTAGAGAGTGTAGTACCGTTAAGCTGGATGGATGGTGGAGGTGTGTTTGAACCAGGGGCAGGTTGAAAGAGAATCTGAGTCTTACGTACATTCACCTCAAGGCCGAAGTGTGCATACGAGTCTGCATAGGTGTTCAAGATCTCCTGTAGGAAGCGCGCAAACACACACACACATACACACACACTTCTTAAAATACTCATGTTTGTTCATTACGCCATAAAGAAAAACCAAAACAGCACTCAAAAATGGTGTGAAAAGGGCGAGAAAAAACAGCACACAAAACACGTCACAAGGTACGAACAACAAGACGAGCACCAACACACACAAGGCGAACTTCAAAAGGGTACATTCTCAAAGGTTCCCAAGATTAATTTCCTTGTAAATGAAGACATAGGAAAGCAACTGAGGGCATGATTTATAAGACAACATCCAGCCGGCCAGGAGTGTCACCACCTTCAGTATACCCCGTTACCACCTTCAGTATACTCATCACCACCCTCACCACCACCTCAACATCACCACCCCAGTATGCCCCGTCACCACCTTCAGTATACTCATCACCACCTCCAGTATACCATCACCACCTTCAGTATACCCCGTTACCACCTTCAGTATACTCATCACCACCTTCAGTATACTCATCACCACCTCCAGTATACTCCGTCACCACCTTCAGTATACTCATCACCACCTCCAGTATACCATCATCACCTTCAGTATACCCCGTCACCACCTTCAGTATACTCATCACCACCTCCAGTATCTCATCACCACCAGATACCCTGTCACCACCTTCAGTATCGTCACCACCTTCAGTATACCCACCAGATACCATCATCACCTCCAGTATACCCCGTCACCACCTTCAGTATACTCATCACCACCTCCAGTATACTCATCACCACTAGTATACCGTCACCACCTTCAGTATACTCATCACCACCTCCAGTATATCATCACCACCTCCAGTATACCCTGTCACCACCTTCAGTATACCTGTCACCACCTTCAGTATACCCGTCACCACCTTCAGTATACTCCGTCACCACCTTCAGTATACTCCGTCACCACCTTCAGTATACCCCGTCACCACCTTCAGTATACCCCGTCACCACCTCCATATCGTCACCACCTACACATGACCACAAAAACACAAAAAATATAATCACACAAACTATCATTTTACCTGAACAACTGACGTAACGGTATGAAAATTTAGTCTTAATTAACAAGACGGTATGACAACTTACCTGAACAATGAACAATACAACATGAACTAATAATGATCTTCACTAAAAAAAACAGTCATCTCAACACACCCAGCTGACCGTCCCAACAAGATTGATCAATTAATTCAAGTCACACGTTACGGATTATTATTATCCTTCCTTTAATCTTATGGAATTAATACGAAGCCCCTAAGATGTTGCCACTGTCGGGGAGACAACAAAGTAAGCAATGACTGCTGGAGAATGTGTGTGTGTGGTTAGGGAAGGGGTGAGGGGAAGGGAAGGGGGAGTTACGAGACAGATAAGAATGTTTGTACTGCCGACGAGCAAAACATTCTGCTTGAGGAGTATACCGTGGTGTGGTGGATTTCCCACTTGAGTCACATCTAGTGAAGAATAACACCGTTTGTTGGACATTTTCTAACCTTTGTTGTGACAAGTGGAGAGACTTAAAACTACAGTGTAAGGTGAGGTGTTGTGGTAGTGTTGTGTACCTGGGAGTGTTGTAGAGATACTTGTTGTAATGGTTGTGTACCTGTGTTCTATAAGCAATACTTCACCTAAGGTTGGGTCTTGTTGATGGCAGCAGTGAGTGGTGTGATGGGTACGTTGCTCCTTAACAAGTTTGGCAATCTTTTACATCACACCACCACCCCTTCTCCCCCTACCCTCCCACCTCCTACTCCTCCCACCTCTACTCCCACTCACTCCTCCCACCCCCTACTTCTCCCACTCACTCCTTCCTCTCCCCCGATCTCCCACTCCCCACTCCTTCCTCTCCCCGACCTCCCACTCCCCTACTCCTTCCCCGACTCCCTCCCACCCCTACTCCTTCCTCTCCCCTACTTCTCCCACTCCCCTACTCCTCCCACTCTACCTCCACCACTCATTCACCGTTTTTATACACACCCGCCTGCCAAGACACCACCACGACAGTCTAATATAATCCTCCCGGTTCTGAGTCCTCCACCTTATGGCACTCCCACCCAGGATAAAGGATTAGGATGAGCTGTACCCAGAATGACAGTTTAAACAATCACCAGAATACATGAGGGTGAAGTGACTGTAACCCAGAATACAGGGAGCAGCAGAGAACAGCAAAGCAGCATCCACCCAGCTGGCTTGTAACAGCACATAACATCCAGCCTGTGCAGCACATGTGTAGTTGCTGCTATAATTAACAGCCACACAAATCACTGCTGTTACTGCATTAGCCAACAGCCACGAGTGATGCATGACCATGGCGTGGCGGAGCACACGGCTGTTCTTACTACGTGGTACCAACTGCTGTGCTCCCTGCCATCTTTCCTCCCTCCCTTCCTTCAAGAGTGTAGACTGCCAGGTAACTGTTGAGGGCACAAGTGTAGGTAACTGTTGAGGGCACAAGTGTAGGTAACTGTTGAGGGCACAAGTGTAGGTAACTGTTGAGGGCACAAGTGTAGGACTGTGAGGGCACAAGTGTAGGTAACTGTTGAGGCACTTGGCAAGTGTGGTTGGGCACAAGTGTAGGTAACTGTTGAGGGCACAAGTGTAGGTAACTGTTGAGGGCACAAGTGTAGTAGCTGTTGAGGCACAAGTGTAGGTAACTGTTGAGGGCACAAGTGTAGGTAACTGTTGAGGGCACAAGTGTAGGTAACTGTTGAGGGCACAAGTGTAGGTAACTGTTGGCTGGTGTTGAGGCACAAGTGTAGGTAACTGTTGAGGCACAAGTGTAGGTAACTGTTGAGGGGGCACAAGTGTAGGTAGCTTGAGGCACAAGTGTAGGTAACTGTTGAGGGCACAAGTGTAGGTAACTGTTGAGGGCACAAGTGTAGGTAACTGTTGAGGGCACAAGTGTAGGTAACTGTTGAGGGCACAAGTGTAGGTAACTGTTGAGGGCACAAGTGTAGGTAGCTGTTGAGGGCACAAGTGTAGGTAACTGTTGAGGCACAAGTGTAGGTAACTGTTGAGGGCACAAGTGTAGGTAACTGTTGAGGGCACAAGTGTAGGTAACTGTTGAGGGCACAAGTGTAGGTAACTGTTGAGGGCACAAGTGTAGGTAACTGTTGAGGGCACAAGTGTAGGTAACTGTTGAGGCACAAGTGTAGGTAACTGTTGAGGCACAAGTGTAGGTAACTGTTGAGGCACAAGTGTAGGGTAACTGTTGAGGGCACAAGTGTAGGTAACTGTTGAGGGCACAAGTGTAGGTAACTGTTGAGGGCACAAGTGTAGGTAACTGTTGAGGGCACAAGTGTAGGTAACTGTTGAGGCACAAGTGTAGGTAACTGTTGTGAGGGGCACAAGTGTAGGTAACTGTTGAGGGCACAAGTGTAGGTAACTGTTGAGGGCACAAGTGTAGGTAGCTGTTGAGGGCACAAGTAGGTAACTGTTGAGGGCACAAGTGTAGGTAATTGTTGAGGGCACAAGTGTAGGAAGCTGGAGGGCACAAGTGTAGGTAACTGTTGAGGGCACAAGTGTAGGTAACTGTTGAGGGCACAAGTGTAGGTAACTGTTGAGGGCACAAGTGTAGGTAACTGTTGAGGGCACAAGTGTAGGTAATCTGTTGAGGGCACAAGTGTAGGTAACTGTTGAGGCACAAGTGTAGGTAACTGTTGAGGCACAAGTGTAGGTGACTGTTGAGGGCACAAGTGTAGGGTAACTGTTGAGGCACAAGTGTAGGTAATTGTTGAGGGCACAAGTGTAGGTAACTGTTGAGGGCACAAGTGTAGGTAACTGTTGAGGGCACAAGTGTAGGTAACTGTTGAGGCAAGGTGTAGGTAACTGTTGAGGGCACAAGTGTAGGTAACTGTTGAGGGCACAAGTGTAGGTAACTGTTGAGGCACAAGTGTAGTAGCTGGAGGCACAAGTGTAGGTGGAGGCCAAGTGTAGGTAACTGTTGAGGGCACAAGTGTAGGTAACTGTTGAGGCACAAGTGTAGGTAATTGTTGAGGGCACAAGTGTAGGTAACTGTTGAGGGGCACAAGTGTAGGTAACTGTTGAGGGGCACAAGTGTAGGTAGCTGTTGAGGCACAAGTGTAGGTAACTGTTGAGGCACAAGTGTAGGTAACTGTTGAGGGCAAGTGTGGGGAGGGGCACAAGGTAGGTAGCTGTTGAGGCACAAGTGTTGAGGGCAGTGTTGAGGGCACAAGTGTAGGTAACTGTTGAGGGCACAAGTGTAGGTAACTGTTGAGGCACAAGTGTAGGTAACTGTTGAGGGCACAAGTGTAGGTAACTGTTGAGGCACAAGTGTAGGTAACTGTTGAGGCACAAGTGTAGGTAACTGTTGAGGCACATGTAGGTAACTGTGAGGCACAAGTGTAGGTCTGTTGAGGCACAGTGGGTAACTGTTGAGGGCACAAGTGTAGGTAACTGTTGAGGGCACAAGTGTAGGTACTGTTGAGGGGCACAAGTGTAGGTAACTGTTGAGGGCACAAGTGTAGGTAGCTGTTGAGGCACAAGTGTAGGTAGCTGTTGAGGGCACAAATGTAGTAACTGTTGGGGGCACAAGTGTGAGTAGCTGTTGAGGCACAAGGTGTAGGTAACTGTTGAGGGCACAAGTGTAGGTAACTGTGTGAGGCACAAGTGTGGTAACTGTTGAGGGGCACAAGTGTAGGTAACTGTTGAGCACAAGTGTAGGTAACTGTTGAGGGGGCACAAGTGCTGTTGAGGCACAAGTGTAGGTGGCTGTTGAGGGGCACAAGTGTAGGTAACTGTTGAGGGCACAAGTGTAGGTAACTGTAGGGGGCACAAGTGTGAGTAACTGTTGAGGCACAAGTGTAGGTAACTGTTGAGGCACAAGTGTAGGTAACTGTTGAGGGCACAAGTGTAGGTAACTGTTGAGGGGCACAAGTGTAGGTAACTGTTGAGGGCACAAGTGTAGGTAGCTGTTGAGGGCACAAGTGTAGGGTAGCTGTTGAGGGCACAAGTGTGGTAACTGTTGAGGGGCACAAGTGTAGGTAGCTGTTGAGGGGCACAAGTGTAGGTAACTGTTGAGGCACAAGTGTGGTAACTGTTGAGGGGGCACAGAGTGTAGGTAGCTGTTGAGGGGCACAAGTGTAGGTAACTGTTGAGGGCACAAGTGTAGGTAACTGTTGAGGGCACAAGTGTAGGTGAGCTGTTGAGGGGCACAAGTGTGAGTAACTGTTGGGGCACAAGTGTGGAACAGTGAGGGCACAAGTGTAACTGTTGGGGGGCACAAGTGTAGGTAGCTGTTGAGGGCACAAGTGTAGGTAACTGTTGAGGCACAAGTGTAGGTAGCTGTTGAGGGCACAAGTGTAGGTAACTGTTGGGGGCACAAGTGTAGGTAACTGTGAGGGCACAAGTGTAGGTAACTGTTGAGGGCACAAGTGTAGGTAACTGTTGAGGGGCACAAGTGTAAGTAACTGTTGAGGCACAAGTGTAGGTAGCTGTTGAGGGCACAGAAGTGTAGGTAACTGTTGAGGGGGCACAAGTGTAGGTAGCTGTTGAGGGGCACAAGTGTGGTCTGTTGGGGGCACAAGTGTAGGTAGCTGTTGAGGGGCACAAGTGTAGGTAACTGTTGAGGGCACAAGTGTAGGTGGCGGGGGGGCACAAGTGTGGGTAACTGTTGAGGCACAAGTGTAGGTAACTGTTGAGGGCACAAGTGTAGGTAACTGTTGGGGCACAATGGCACAAGTGTAGGTAACTGTTGAGGGCACAAGTGTAGGTAACTGTTGAGGGCACAAGTGGGGTAACTGTTGAGGGCACAAGTGTAGGTAGCTGTTGAGGGGCACAAGTGTAGGTAACTGTTGAGGGGGCACAAGTGTAGGTAACTGTTGAGGGGCACAAGAGTGTAGAGGTAACTGTTGAGGGCACAAGTGTAGGTAACTGTTGAGGGCACAAGTGTAGGTAACTGTTGAGGGCACAAGTGTAGGTAACTGTTGAGGGCACAGAGTGTAGGTAACTGTTGGGGGCACAAGTGTGAGTAACTGTTGAGGGCACAAGTGTAGGTAACTGTTGAGGGCACAAGTGTAGGTAACTGTTGAGGGCACAAGTGTAGGTAACTGTTGAGGGCACAAGTGTAGGTAACTGTTGAGGGCACAAGTGTAGGTAACTGTTGAGGGCACAAGTGTAGTCTCTGGGTGTGGGTGTGTATTGTTCCTGTCTCCTGCCAACTTCCACCACCTGCGGTTATGGGGGAAGGTAAGGGTGAGGGAGGTAGGGTGAGGGGGGCCCTTCATGATGTGCTCAGTCTCTACAACCATCTACTACAGCCACCTCAACAAACTAATGTTATATTATACCCAATATTCAGTAATAAACCGTAGTATATTACCATTATTATTATTATTATTATTATTATTAACTTCCAGTGTGTATGTGTGTGTGTGTGTGTGTGTGTGTGTGTGTGTTAGGCGATGGAGAGGGGAAAAGGGGGAGGGGTACGGAAAATATTATAACAGCGCGGGTGGTGGTTGTGGTGGCGGGACGGCGGAGAAAGCTGGTGGCTGGCTGGCGTCCACTGCATTGCAGCTGGTGCACCATCCCCGCTACACGCACGCTATCCCAACACACGGTACACGCAGCTACCCCGCTAATCCATCATGTCTTCAGCTAGCTAGGCGTCTCTTATCTAGTGGTTCATCACCTGGCAACTACCTTCTCCGCCTCACCTTACGCGTGGTGTTAGGTCTACTGTCTTATAAACTCAGTCATATGTCTGTCTGTAAAAGATGATTTTAATGGTCATTATATGTACTACTGTAAGTATTCTTTAATGTGATGTTGCTTGTTGGTTATAATTCTCTCCTATCCACATCCCAGTACACAGACAAGAAATATAAATGTACACTATACACAAACACAAAAAAAACGTAAAAAATACAATGAAATTTTAAAACAAACACGAATTTATTTACGAAGAGACGCGAGCGAGGAGGCATCAAGGCGTCACGTGTCTCCCGTGTTTACTACATCAGCTGATGGGGCAAGGCGCGACGCGGCTCCCAGCACCCTCAGGGTCCACCCCCGCCCTTCTCCCCCGCCTCCATACTGCATCACTTTTAACACTCCCATAGAAAAAAAATTACGAGTCATCACGACGCCATTAAACACTCGGCGTAAAATTTATTACGTACCATGAATAAAAAATAAGACTTGGTAAAAACATTTCAAGGTCCTAATTATAGACTCGAGTGATGTAGGACCATGACTCACCCCAGGTAACTTTTAGACGAACCGACATTAGTAAAGCTTCCGACAGTGTGTGCCGACTCTTTGTCTGACACTCACCAGGGTGCTGATTGTCTCTGCTGAGTCTGACTATTAGCTCTGACACTGGCCAGGGTGCTAACTCTTAGTGCTGCCTCACACCCACCGGTGGCGAATTCAGGCACCTGTACTTTGCCGGGTTCATCGTGTGCCATCATAAATAACTTCACATCTTGGACGGGACCACAGAGGAGTTAACACGGAAAACTAAAGAAGAGCAGCTGGTAGCCAGGGTGGCGTGGGAGACCTATATGACCCCCCCCCCCCACACACACACACACACATCCATCACACGATATGGTCTTCGATGTCAACAAATTATAGTGAAGATAATAAAATAAGGTACATTTTTCTTGTCACACCGTTCACTTTTAGCAAGTTAAAAATATATTTTTCTAGTGTATTTGTGTGTGTTGAGACCGAATATGACCTTCCTTTTTGGCGGAAATTAGCCGGGTTTTTTTGCGATTTATTTTTCGTTTGACGATTTCAGAGAAAAAAAGTGTCTAAGCAACTAAAAAATACACAAAAAACACTAGAAAAAAACAATAACCAAACCTAACTTAACTGACTCTCACCATATGATGGAATCACCTATTTCTTACCTTATTGGCCTGGTTCTTGTTCGTCGTTGCATTCTGGGATTCTTACACAACGCCACATATGTTGGTCTTTGCGACATTTACATTCAGTCTTGCTCTTAGTACACTTTACTGAGGTTGGAAAAACACCATGCGATCGAAATATGAGACCAAAAAGAATACTCGAATTTGATTGGGCCAAAAATACCGCGAATTAAACCCAAAAACATTTTAATTGGTTTCAAAATAAAAAAGGCTTTTGATTGGCCGCGTGACGTGTACAGCAACGCATGAGCAGGATGATTTATGAAGGAGACGCGCAGTGTTGGAGGAGAGGCAGACGATAATGGCGGGATGTTAATGGAAGAAAATAGAAAATATTTTGGAAAAGCTATCTCCGTTATTATACATTTCCGCCGGTAATGTAAAGGATGAAAATTAGACGTCTTATTCGTATATGATAATAGATTAGTGGTAGGAATGAACGGTGTGTAAAGAAAATAATACCTAAAATAAGGCTACTGAGACCAACCAGGTGCAGCACAACACTCACGTGACACCTGACAGAGATGAAACACTCACGTGACACCTGACACACGGATAAAGCCCTCACGTGACACCTGACACACAGATGAAACACTCACGTGACACCTGACACACGGATAAAGCACTCACGTGACACCTGACACACAGATGAAACACTCACGTGACACCTGGCAGACAACCCTCACGGAGCTCAACATACCTGCAAGAAAAGAAACACCATTAATATTCATGACAAAATAATCACACCTGATCCATCAATTAAATACCACACCTGAAAATTAAATATTAATTATTATATTAAAAAAAAACATCAATAATAAGAGCCACCAATAATTATTCGTCATTCAGGGGAAAATAGATGACTCATGCATAAAATATATCAGTCAAGTCAGCCATCACTCAGGGCGATGATGGCCAGAAATAAGCTTACTACCTCCCCAACACAACCTCCACCACTACACATCCCCACCACTACACATCCCCACCACTACACATCCCCACCACTACACATCCCCACCACTACACAACCCTCCACCACTACACACATCCCCACCACTACACATCCCCACCACTACACATCCCCACCACTACACATCCCCACCACTACACACCATCATCTCCACCAAGTCTTCTCACGGTCCGACATTTTTTCCCAAAGGTTGCGTGAATTCTTAGAGTGTCTTGACGGGTCCATACACACAACTTGAGACACAATCACCAGCGAACGAACATCTGGCGTCTTTAAATAGCTCCCTGACATATCTCTTTGTGTTGCTTATTGCGCCATACTAACTCGTGAAGGTGAGACGCGGTGGAGAGGGAGGGGAGAGATTGACAGGTAAGGGAGGGGGAGATAGTGACAAGTAGGGGAGGGGGAAGAGAGTGACAGGTAGGGGAGGGGATGGGGAGAGAGTGACATTTAGAGGGAGGGAATGGAGAGAGGGAGGGGGATGGAAAGAAATGTTTACTAGAGGGAGAATGGAGAGAGTGACAGGTAAGGGGAGGATGGAGAGTGACATATGGGGAGGGATGGAGAGAGTGACAGGTAGGGAGGATGGGGAGAGTGACATGTAGGAGGAATGGAGAGAGTGACAGGTGGGGATGGGGGGGAGAGTGATAGGTAAGGGAGGGAATGGGGAGAAATAAAGGTTGGGGAAGTGAGGGTCAGGTGTAAGGAGAAATGATGGACACGATATGGGGCGAAGGAGGTGAATGAAGGGTAGGTAAAAGATGGGAGGAGGAAAGAGGAAACAACGAGGAAGGGGATGAGAGAGGAGGATGGAAAAGCGGAGAAAGAGAGAAGAGGGGTGTAGCGAGGTCGAGAGAAAGTGGAGAAGAATGAAGAAGTGAGGTGAGAGACGGGAAGGAGAGAGTGAGGAGGGAGGGAGAGATAAGGGATTGAAGGAGGAAGGAGGGAGGGAGGGAGAGATAAGGGACTGAAGGAGGGAAGGAGATAAAGGATTGAAGGAATGAAGGATGGAGATAGATAAGGCTTGAGGGAGGATTGAGAGGGGGGGGGTATTTTCGTATCATAAGCATCACTCTTCAACAGGACTCAACTTTCTACACAAACTTTAAAATATATTAAAAAAAATGTGTGGTGGTGTGGGGACGGCGCTCTGGGTGTTGGTAGTTCATGTGTCCTTTTTCAACTACGAGGGAGTAGTACATACACACACACACCCACACCCACACCCACCCACACACACACATCTTACCCCCACCCCTTCCCTCACACTCCCTTCCTCCTCCACACACATCAACCCAATTACCATCTCCCCCTCTTCACGCTCAGATCCAGGCCCACTCCTCCCGCACAGCATGCACCCCCCCCCTCCCTCACTAGACACAACTCTCAAGCAGGGACAATTCATCTCAGGTAATTGCAGGTAAGAGAGTGGCATGTGTGACCTTGGGGGTTAATAATACAGGAAGGAGGTGCGCCCTCTGCCTGGCGTCCCTGCGCAGGCGCCCACACTCCTGTTTTTTCTCTCATGATAATTATTACTGTAGTTTATGTCCCAAAAATATTTTGTTTTCGAGTGAATTTTCATTGTTAATATCAATAATTATTCTTACCATAATAATTACTGTTGCAATTTATTGTCCACAAACAACTATTTTTAGACGTTTGATTAAAATATTTTCAATAGTAACAAAAATAATATTGTTTTTAATAATATCTAGTAATACTACTACTAATAATAATAACAATATCACGTTTGTTGTTTTGAAACCAGAAAAATATTTTCCAATGCCTTACAACAACTACTATTACTATTGCAACTAGTAGTAGCAATAGTAAACAAATACTACTACTACTACTACTAATAATAATAATAATATATTTTTTACCAGCCGAATACTCTTTTTCCCAAACGTCACTGTCAACATAAATAATGAGAGTAAACACAACAGTTGCCTCCCATCAATATAACTCGTGGTGGTCAGGTCAGGTCAGGTCACCAGTGGTAGTGAGTTAAGGATCACAACAATAATTAATTCTCACAGAGCCAGTGGTGAACGGCGGCCTAGCTTGTTGACTCTTATTGTGGAGGGTACTCATGGCGGTGGCGGGGGGAGGGGAAGAGGGGAACTAAAATAGGAAACAAAAGTATTAATGTAAATAAAAACCAACAGGAAAGCTTAAAGATTAACTCTCAGTTTATTTCACCTGGTGATTAAACACTTACCTGGTGATTGGGATTAAGTGGGTTCGCGTTAGGGTGTGGTTAATCCGAGGTTAATTAAGCTAGAGGGATCATTAATTTATTCCTCTCAAATAAATAAATAAATAAATCTCGTCAGATGTTTAGTTCAGGAGGCACCGTGAGTCACCACTACGACCTCTGACCTAATTAACTCAGGTTTTCCCTCCCTCTCTCACACACACACACGTCCAGTGAGGTTGTCCAAATCTCCAGTTTCAAATCTCCACCTCCCTCCCGCCGACTCAAGTCCTCAGGTTCCCACACTGAAGCTCCTCAGTGTATACACAACATTCTACAAACTCACCTATGCCTCCCCCACCTGGTCTTCCTCCCTAAATGCCACACAACGTAAACACCTAGAAAAAATGCAAAAGAGGGCATGCAAGATTATTCTCTCCCCTTCCTACTCCACATATCAAGAAGCGCTCAACACACTGACCCTTTCGACTCTCACTGACCATTACCACGACCTCATCTGCAAATTTGGTAAGAAGCTTCTACACCATCCTCGACACCGGCTCCTACTACCACCTGAGATCCCTAGTCCGAGAATTGCTGTTCGACACCACAGCCGCATCCAGCCCATACGTGCACGAACTGATCGCTATAAGAACAGCCCAGTCCCAACCATTGTAAAAATTATCAATAACATGTAATAAATCAGTGTATTCACTCCCAGTAAACACTGCTCCCTAATCACTATGTTGAAATGAACTGTATTTTGAGCTGATCATCTAAGTTATATATGTCTTATTTGTGTCACTTATGTCCTTGTATATTATTTGTAATTCGTAACCCATTCCCCAAATATGTAACTGTATATTTTCAGCCTTCTGACAAGCTCTTCAATAAACCACACACACAGGCACTACTCTGGGGAGAGACTGAAGACTTAAATTAATTGAGAAAAAAAATCGTCAACAATTAAATGGTGGTGAAAACTATAAGACTTTGCGAAGGCCAAGATAATAAATTAATCAAATAACAAATGATAAAGGAAAGTATAAAGCAAGTGTGGAAAAAGTAGTATTAAAGTACGAGAGCAGAGGAAGGAAAATAAAGTATGATTAGAGTAATATAATTAAGGGAAGTAAGAATTAGGAGAGAAAAAGTTTGAAGCGAGAGAGGAAAAAGTAATAAGCAAGTGTGATAATAACAGCTGCCGCGGACCACCATTCGAGGCAGTGTACAAAAACCTTAGTAAGTTTGTCACACCATTTTATAAAGGACAGTGTGAGGTGAGGTGAGGTGAGGTGAGGTGAGGTGAGGTGTGTTGGCTCGGTGCTGCCCGTAACCGTCTTGGCTGCCCCACCGAGAGACCTTACGTGAGCGGTTGGTTACACAGGTGGTAATACGTGTTTCCTGCGGCCAGCCAACTACCTTTTACTGCCACCTACAAACAAACAATGTGGCCGCACTAACCCAAATACCTCCGTGTCTGCCGTGACTTGCCAACGCCACCGAACGGCCACAAAGGCACCGAGAATGTGGTCACACTCCCTCCATTATGTCTCCGTGTCTGCCGTGGCCGCCCATGAAAAAACGACATGTGGTCACGTAGGAACATGAGACGGAGATACTCCCCAAGTCTAGAGAAGAGGTTAGGTTAGGTAGTACCTTGGATATACCCTTCCCTGGATTTCTCCGTCTCAGCCCTGACCAGCCAGCCAAGCAGCACCAGGAGTACACACACACACACACACACACACACACACACACACACACACACACACACACACACACCCGGCCACATCACCAACCAAGATATCCCAATGTGGCGGCGCCCACGCTGGCTCACACGGTATATGGGCAGAGTCGACCCTCCGCCTCTGCCCAAATGTAGCGCCCTTCTCACCAGATACTGTCTCCTGTCGCATAATGTCTACAGTGAAGGGATAGCCCGGAGACCTGCTACATAATACCGTATACGGCTCGCTTTTCGGGGGCGGAGATAGACCACTCGTCACACACACTCCAGACAGCCCAGGAAGCTGAGGTAAGGTGGCCCCGGCCCTCCACGGTGGCCAGATACGGCGTGAAGGTCGGCAATATGGTGGTGAGACGGGGGTAGGAGGTCATAGCGGAATGAGGGCGGCTGGGAGTGGCGGGACACAGTGAGGACTGAAGTAGGCTGTCTGGAGTTCAAGGTAGGTCATGGTCGAGGTATACTTACGGGTGACAGGTTTGAGTGTGTGTGTGTGAACAAAACAAGGCAGTGGGAGGGCAGGGTGTTGAAAGGGGTGGGAGATGTAAGGAGAGAGAGGGTTTGTGAGGAGGTGGGGCAGGGTGGGGAGGTGGGGCAGGTTGGGGAGGTGGGGCAGGGTTTGGGTGGAGGAGGGGTAAGGCTCACACGGGGACAACAAGACACACACACACATAACCACCACTGTGAGTGAGTGGGACACTGGTGTAACGGGACCCCAGCCTCACTCACGCCACCACAACAACCTACCCACTCACCTACCAGACATTCACTCACCACACTCACCTACCTCACACTCTACACACCCTACTAAACAAGTTCACAACACACTTTTTACCCCATTATAAACATAAGTCATTTACAATAATAATAATAAATTAAACCAATACAAAATGACGAGAATAAACATAAAACAGTTTAACAAATGATCACCAGAGTTCACCATCCCAGGCCATGAATGAGGGAGCTTCTTTGGCCTCCATATTGTGTGCCTCATGAACAGCGTCTGTAGTAAATATTTACATGCAGTGTGTAAAAAACAATAGTCTGGTGGATCACATGACCTCCAGGCAAGTAAGTGTTGACGTAACTCGTTCTAAGAGTGAAAAAAAAGGGGGAGACTCCCTCAACCATTTCGAGGAAGAGTGTAGGTAGTAGGGGAGCCGCCACCCACACACATGTTGCTTCAGGCACTGCACCATCAAATTGTTATTGCAGTAAGTGAAATGCTTGACTGCCACCAGGGAGAACTTGTCATGAGCAGGGGGCTGGGTGGGAGGCAGGGGGCTGAGAGGGAGGCAGGGGGCTGAGAGGGAGGCAGGGGCTGGGTGGGAGGCAGGGGCTGAGGAGGCAGGGGCTGAGAGGGAGGCAGGGGCTGGCTGGGGCTGGGTGGGAGCAGGGGAGCTGGGCTGGAGGCTGGGGCTGGCAGGAAAAATATGAATAATCTCAGAAGGAAAGTCACTCTATCTTTAGCATGGGGGAAGGAGCCAAAGCGGATCTCCCTATCCACCCCCCCCACCATATACACTCCTGTGCGACACATTTATCATCAGCATCACCTTTTAAGTACATCCTCTCATCTCCACTCTATAAGCTCCAGCCCCCGCGTCTGTAGCTTTCATCTGCGGCAGCCTCCCCCCTCCTCCCCCGAGCAACGATGCCGCCATCACACACAAAGGACTTCACCACAAACGCAAGATATCAGAGTTATGTCAACCGAATTAAGACAATACATCATTCAGGTCTTTATGTGCGAAATAAATGGAAGTCACAGTGTGTTTTCGTGTCGGTATGTTAAGCTTGTAGCGAGGCTGGAGATGACAATATACCCCACATTTAGTGCCACCATGACGCAAGAGGAGGTGCTTTTAGTAGGATGAGCCAGCACCTGCTAGGAAGGTCGACCTGTGCTGCAAGCTACTGTGGCCGCCACCTTCCTTACCCAACAAACTACGTGCTGCTGAGTGCCAGTACAATGTGCGTAGCAGAGTAAGCAGTGGTGTACGTGTGTAGGGGAGACTGGAGGAAGAGTGGTACGTGGGACGAAAGTGGCACTGGGGTGTGTTGAGTCGTTCCAGGAGTTAGGTTCAAGAGACAGCTGGCGTAGAGCACAGCGCCAGTGGTAGACATAGAGCAGAGTTTTAAGACATGGTGGGCGTAGTGCGGGTTAACAGAAGCGGTGGTAGTGTAGTGGTGGAGCGCGGGGTGGCGAACGGCACCTAGCAACACCAGCAGTGGCCTCTTGCTGCCAAATAATGCCTCACTGCGACCCTGGCTCCTGCGACTTCTCACGAGATTTGGGGCTCACCACCGAAATTTCGCTCGCGTTTGTCTTCGCTCTGTGGAAGATGTGGGTGAGTAGCGGACGAGGCATCTTGGCAAGAGTGAAGACCGCCACAACCACTGAGCGTTGCTCCTACCACCAACGACAACACACACACACACACACACACACACACACACACATATACATACATAAAATGAAAAAAAAATTCTTACGCAAATCCACCAACCGTATAGTGAGGCGACCGACACGCAGTTCGTTGTGACGCCAATTTACTTTTTTAAGTGCCCTGACGGCGCCCCCAGGCAATAGATAAATTTTCCAATAAACGCCAGACGGATAACATAAAGTGTGCTTTAAGAAGGTTGTCCATTGAGTGAGGAAGGCTGGTGGTGTGGGGTGGCGGCGACCTCATCAAGGAGGAGGCGGCGTTCAAAAGGCACGGCACCAAAGAGTAATCTGGAGTCATGGGCGCCGCTATTCACACATAAGCTGACACTCCTCCCCCTGTGACGCCACCACACTGACCCTCACTCAGAGTACTGTTACTGTTTATAATGAACACGTACTACGCCCCTCCTCCATGGTACTGTCACTAACCCTCCCTCCTCCATGGTACTAACACTACCCCTCCCTCCTCCATGGTACTGACACTACCCCTCCCTCCTCCATGGTACTGACACTACCCCTCCCTCCTCCATGGTACTGACACTACCCCTCCCTCCTCCATGGTACTGACACTAACCCTCCCTCCTCCATGGTACAGACACTACCCCTCCCTCCTCCATGGTACTGACACTACCCCTCCCTCCTCCATGGTACTGACACTAACCCTCCATGGTATAGTACCCTATTACAGTTATTAATGAGGCATAATGGCTGCTCCTGGTGTAACGAGGGTGGCCGACTATACCTCACTGGACAGACGTGTGGGTTAAGGAACACACTCTTGTCTACTGAGGTGAATAATGTTGTTGATGATAGCTTGTGGAACCTGTGTGTGTGTGTGTGTGTGTGTGTGTGTGTGTGTGTGTGTGTGTGTGTGTGTGTGTGTGTAAAATAATCGATCAGAGATTCTCAAGAAGTAGGTAACAAGGGTAAGGTAGGGTACTAGGTAGCACAGTAGGGAAACAGGTATCAAGTGGGTAAGGGAGGTACTAGGGTAGGGCAAACAGGTAACAAGGGTAAGTGGAGGGTACTAGGGTAGGGTAAACAGGTAACAAGGGTAAGGGAGGGTACTAGGGAAGGGTAAACAGGTAACAAGGGTAAGGGAGGGTACTAGGGAAGGGTAAACAGGTAACAAGGGTAAGGGAGGGTACTAGGGAAGGGTAAACAGGTAACAAGGGTAAGGGAGGGTACTAGGGTAGGGTAAACAGGTAACAAGGGTAAGGTAGGGTACTAGGGTAGGGTAAACAGGTAACAAGGGTAAGGTAGGGTACTAGGGTAGGGTAAACAGGTAACAAGGGTAAGGGAGGGTACTAGGGAAGGGTAAACAGGTAACAAGGGTAAGGGAGGGTACTAGGGAAGGGTAAACAGGTAACAAGGGTAAGGGAGGGTACTAGGGAAGGGTAAACAGGTAACAAGGGTAAGGGAGGGTACTAGGGTAGGGTAAACAGGTAACAAGGGTAAGGTAGGGTACTAGGGTAGGGTAAACAGGTAACAAGGGTAAGGTAGGGTACTAGGGTAGGGTAAACAGGTAACAAGGGTAAGGGAGGGTACTAGGGAAGGGTAAACAGGTAACAAGGGTAAGGGAGGGTACTAGGGAAGGGTAAACAGGTAACAAGGGTAAGGGAGGGTACTAGGGAAGGGTAAACAGGTAACAAGGGTAAGGGAGGGTACTAGGGTAGGGTAAACAGGTAACAAGGGTAAGGTAGGGTACTAGGGTAGGGTAAACAGGTAACAAGGGTAAGGTAGGGTACTAGGGTAGGGTAAACAGGTAACAAGGGTAAGGGAGGGTACTAGGGAAGGGTAAACAGGTAACAAGGGTAAGGGAGGGTACTAGGGAAGGGTAAACAGGTAACAAGGGTAAGGGAGGGTACTAGGTAGGGTAAAACAGGTAACAAGGGTAAGGTAGGGTACTAGGTAGGGGTAAACAGGTACTTAAGGGTAAGGAGGGTACTAGTAGGGTAAAGAGGCAACAAGGGTAAGGTAGGGTACTTAGGGTAGGGTAAAACAGGCAATAAGGGTAAGGGGAGGGTACTTTCAGTAGGGTAAACAGGTAACAAGGGTAAGGGAGGGTACTAGGGTAGGGTAAACAGGTAACAAGGGTAAGGTAGGGTACTAGGGTAGGGTACTAGGGTAGGGTAAACAGGTAACAAGGGTAAGGGAGGGTACTAGGGTAGGGTAAACAGGTAACAAGGGTAAGGGAGGGTACTAGGGTAGGGTAAACAGGTAACAAGGGTAAGGGAGGGTACTAGGGTAGGGTAAACAGGTAACAAGGGTAAGGAAGGGTACTAGGGTAGGGTAAACAGGTAACAAGGGTAAGGAATGCAGGTGACAAGAAAGGTGAGGTAATGAAGCTAACTATATATAGGGTGTGACTAAGGCGTCAGACATAGCGAGGGATGCACTATTACCCGCGCGCGAGGTGGTCGACCCCGGGACCTCCAGCCGCGCCAAGGGGGAACATAAAGAACATGAGAACGGAGGAAACTGCAGCGGACCTATTGGCTCATACTAGGCAGTCCCATTTACACCCAACCCCTATTGCTCATATATCCATCCAACCTATGTTTGAAGCTATCCAGCGCATTCGAGTTAATGATGATATTTGGTAACTTCTTCCACTCGTCCACTACTCTATTTCCAAACCAATGTTTACCTATTTCGCGCCTAAATCTAAATTTGTCTAATTTAAAACCATTGTTAAGAGTTCGCTCCTGGTTGGAGGAGGAGGAAGGAGGGAAGACAAGTGTGGAGGAGGGGGAATTATTCCTTCCATCATAACCTCTTTAGAGTATAAGAAGAAATAATTAACAAATCATTCCAACCCAACCTAACCTTATCATCGTCTCTGCCGATCTCAAATATTCCTCCTGACTTAACTCTAAGCATCCAGAAGAAATCACACACACACACACACGCCTTAGTGCATCACCCCCAACACACACACACACACACGCCCCCAGTGCATCATCACCCCCCAACACACACACACACACACACACACACACACACACACACACACACACACACACACACACACACACACGCTACATCGCACCAAACACCATCATCTTGTTCAGGAGCACCGCGATGTCACAAAAGGTAAGGTGTTCCCTTCAGCAGCTTTCTTATTTATATGGCAATTAAATACATTTTTTTTTTCGACATTGTGCACCTCAGGCGAGAGTTGTGAGCACTGCCAGAGTTATTCTCGGGCGGGGGAGAGGAGGGGGGGCTCTAAGCAAGTCTAAATACCTATGTCACATTTTATACTTGGGGTTGGAGAACGCGTGCCAAGAGCAACTGTGGGTGAGGTAGCGTCCCTCCCCTCAGTCTGTCTGTCTGTCTGTCTGTCTGTCTGTCTGCCAGCCCACCACCACCACCACCTCAGCTTCACCAAGACAGAGAGAAAATTAAGCACCCAGTTGTCATCGGTACCAGGCTCCCGCGCCCCTAAGTCACAACCCAGCTGTCACCTTCCGTACCCGCTTCTCACGCTCCTCCTCCTCCACCCACCCACACCGGTTCAAAAGTAACACCTGGTCCAGCACTACATCAATTATACCAATAATACAAATGAGGCACTACAACAAATTGGCAACAAGTCGACGTGGCACCACACCATTTGTGGCGCTAACAAGATACGACATTACTACAAATGAGGCATCAGAGGCGGAGAACTTTATCTAAATGTTAAGAATATTAACCTTCCTGTAAACCTTGGTTGAGTTACAAGTCAGTCTTCCGTTGTACTGGATGCCGCCTGTCAGCCTTAAGGTAAGGTAAGGTAAGGTAAGGTAAGGTAAGGTAAAGTAAGGTAAGGTAAGGTAAGGTTAGATAAGGTAAGGTAAGGTTAGGTAAGGTTAGGTTAAGTAAAGTAAGGTAAGGTTAGGTTAGGTTAGATAAGGTAAGGTAAGGTAAGGTAAAGTAGGGTAAGGTAAGGTAAGGTAAGGTAAGGTAAGGTAGGGTAAGGTAAGGTAAGGTTAGGTTAGGTTAGGTAAGTCAACCAAGAGCCATAACTCACTCCAGTTACTGTCATGAGATAACCCCCATGGACCCCAAAAATGTATTACCTTCCATTACCGGAAACCCTCCCAATAGCGACATCTTGACCCCATCAAATAGTCCGCTATAGAGAGGTCTTATGTACACTGAACCGGGTGATATGTTACTTAAATATAGCGGGTCAAGTAAGTGAACCATAAAAGCCTTACTCAACCGAGAGTTCTCTCAGTACACAATGGTGACAATAATAATAAATAAAGACATAAATAAAAGCAGGTGAGAGGAGACACGTGCAGGGGTTGAGCCTCACCCAACTATGTGGCCAACCCGCCAACTCTCACAAGTGGGTGCCAATCCTCACAAGTGGTACAAGTGGCCAAGCCAACTCTCAAGAAATAACTCTAACTAACCTCACAAGTGCCTAACCCGCCAACTCAACCCGCCAACTCGGCTAGTGCCAACCCGCCAAGTCTCTCACAAGTGGCCAACTCACACAGTGGCCAACTCGCCAACTCTAGTGGCCAACCCGGCCAACTCTTACAAGTAGCCAGCTAGCCAACTCTTACAAGTAAGCCAATCAGCTCAACCCCAACAAGTGGCCAACCCGCCAACTCTAACAAGTGGCCAACCCTGCCAATCCCCCAACAAGTGGCCAACCCGCTAACTCTCACAGTGGCCAACTCTGCCAACTCACAAGTGGCCAACTCTGCCAACTCACAGTGGCCAACTCGCTATCCCCCAACAGCCAACCTGCCAACTCTAACAGTGGCCAACCTGGCCCACCTCTACAAGGCCAACTCACACCTCTACAAGTGGCCAACCCAACAATCCCTCACAAGTGGCCAACTCGCTAACTCTACAAGTAGCCAACTCGCCAACCTAACAAGTGGCAATAACCCGCCATAACTCTAACAAGTGGC